CTCAGGCATAAAAAAGAATGAAATCCAGCCATTCATAGCAACATGGATGAGAAAATTATGTGGGAAAAANAAAGACAGATGACTGAATAAAGAAAATGTTTCATATATGCAAAATGGAATACTACTCAGGCATAAAAAAGAATGAAATCCAGCCATTCATAGCAACATGGATGAGAAAATTATGTGGGAAAAAAAAAAAAAAGGAGGCGGCAATGTCAAATGACCTGCTGGATCACTCTTCCCAACTTGTTAAGCAAGTTTCCCTCACTGAAGAATATTTTGCTTGAACAACTGAACTGGTCACAAGTCAAATACTTTCCAACTATTTTTTCCAGGTCTACTTTTAAAAACCTAAAGTAAGAGGGCATGCATTAGATGGCCTAAGTCAGGAGTCTGTTACTCACCAGTAGAGCCACTTCAGTGATTCCCAAGAGTCAGTATCCATTACCCAGACTGCTTTGAAGGTGGAGTAAATGTGTATCAGATGTGAACATGATTACGGACAGGTCTAAGGGTATCTGCACCTTAGTATATTTTTTCTATATTCTGACCCAAACTTAGAAAGCTACTGCACAAAGTGAGCTCTAAAACAGAATTTCTGTGAACTGGAGCTCCCTTCCCTTTCTCCTTAGAACCAAAGAGCTAGTTCAAAAAAGATCCAGAATTGGGGGGAGGTATAGAGGGAGGGGAGAGAGAGGAACGGGTAAAGGGACATGAAAGTCAACTACAATGTATATTGAGAAGTTAAAATTAAAAAATAAATAAATAAAAATAAATCCAGAAAACATCATAGGCCATTAACAAATCTCAAATGGTGGATCTTGAAATAGGAAAAAATCCCTGGTTACTATTTCTGTGTCCTCCTAGTCCAACAGATGTTCCCCATACAACACAGAACGGGATGACATGGCCCCAGGCCAGGCCTCCTTAGCGAGCTTACCATATACCACATGCTCGGCCACTTGGGATCATTGAAGTAGGTAGATTGGGCACGACTGAGGTCATAATCCCTCTTTGTCCGTTTTTTTACCACTTGCTGTTGGATCCACTCCACCTGCCAAGAAGAAAGGACATTTGGTGTGTGTTCAAGTTCCATCAGGGTTAGCACAACATAAATGACAGTCTGAGGCATTTCCCATCTTGAGTTAGTGCTATTTAAGTCACAGGCTTCATTGTGGCATCTATGAAGCTCAGAGATGGCCTAGAAACCCAGTTCCTTTTTATTTTTAATGCAAGTAGGAATTTTAGTCTTTTATGGACAGATCATTTATATCTTACAATAAGCTTTCAGCTTTTTCATAAAGCATATTTTACTCCCAGTTTATTATAAATTGAGAGTGTTAATTATGTCTTTAAGGTAATTTCTCATCCTTACCTTATACTAAGAGTTGGCAAACTTTTTCTGTAAAGATTCAGGAAATAAATATTTTAAGCTTTGTAGGTCACATGGTATCTTATGCAATTACTCATTCTGCTAGTGCAGCACCATAGACAATACATAAACGAACGGTGTGACTGTGTTCCAATAAAACATTACGTGCAAAATCAGGCTATATTTGAACCACATGCCACTGTTTATGATCCCTGACTTATGCTATGTAACAAATTTTTTAAATGTCCTGGGATCAAATGCTCCAGCATCACAAATTTTAAAAAAATGGCTTTCTATAAGCACTGTTTGAGAAATCAGAAAACCAAAGCCCTGGGCCGGCCTGGTGGCGCACTGGAGAGTGCGCCGCTTGGGAGCGTGGTGGCGCTCCCGCTGAGGGTTCGGATCCCATGTGGAGACCGGTTCCCGCTCACTGGCTGAGCGCGGTGTGGGTGCAACTCCGAGGGTTGCGATCCCGTTGCTGGTCCCCGGTACGGGCGTGACACCGAGGGTTGCGATCCCGTTGCTGGTCCCCGGTACGGGCGTGACACCGAGGGTTGCGATCCCGTTGCTGGTCCCCGGTACGGGCGTGACACCGAGGGTTGCGATCCCGTTGCTGGTCCCCGGTACGGGCGTGACACCGAGGGTTGCGATCCCGTTGCTGGTCCCCGGTACGGGCGTGACACCGAGGGTTGCGATCCCGTTGCTGGTCCCCGGTACGGGCGTGACACCGAGGGTTGCGATCCCGTTGCTGGTCCCCGGTACGGGCGTGACACCGAGGGTTGCGATCCCGTTACCGGTCAGTAAAAAAGACAAAAAGGAAAAAAAAAAAAAAGAAAACCAAAGCCCTAGTCCTATAACTGTCACAAAATTGGAGAAGCTGCTCCTAAGGCATAGGCTTTTTGCCAATTCTAAAGGTCAAACCTGCTACATGTGAGAAAAGTCTTAATATTAAAGTCATAACCTTTGCTTAAATAAAGTAACTGGGAGCCTTGATTTTAATACAGGATCTGTAACCTAATGGTAGGGTGTGTATGGGAATATTCTTTTTGAAACAAGTTATCATTATGGCGACATAAAAATAAACATGTTCCAGTTTCAATAGAGGGTCTTAAATGTGGTATCAGCCCTGGTATCATTCCTCGATTTGTTCCTAACTGCTCCTTTCTTCGATTTCTTCTGATGACAGCTCATTTAGTCGCAATGCTCTGAATTGAGTGGGGAGGAGGGGATCCTGAAGTGCACTGCCGTAATTCCATACCTACCCGTTTGCTAAAGCCTTCAAAACCTCTCTTGCCTACTCGATTAAAGGTTTACTAAAGGAGAAGGGGCACTAAGCTATCCTCAATCAAAGTGCAGCAGCAAGTACAGGCGTGCATGCACATTTTCTATTTCCAGGAAACATTTTAACCTTTTCCTTTCAAATCGTCTTTCTAAGGAATCAGTTTCATTCACTTGTTTATTCATTCAATAGCATTAAGTGACAGGCACTGTGCTGAGAATATAAAAATGAGTAAGACTTGTCTTTACCTTTGAAGCATCTACATTTTACCAGGGAAATTTAGCAAGTATTATACAATTCTTTACTTCATAAAAATATAATTATCTCTATGAGTGACATCTGACATAGGCCCTATCACTGTCTTACTTAGACCATTTATTACAATTTTGACTACACAACTTATATTTGCCACCCTTATTTTAAATTACTGTCTATAAGTTTTATCCCAATAAGGTTGAACTGGTTCATAAGAGATGGCTGTAGATCATTTTAGATTGAAATCCTTTCAAAACTAATCCTACATTGGCAGTGGCCCTTCCTAACAGAGCCTTCATAAATTCCAAACTGCCAACTGATATGTGTGCACAAACCAGACAGTGTCACATCTCCCCCAGTGTGGACTCCTAGACATCAGGACTGTCTATAATGGAGTGGGAGTTAATAAGTGTTTCCACAATTACACTGTAAGTATGCACTTTTCCCTGTGCACACATACAAGTAGACAAGTGGGAAAAGTATGTGAGAAACCAAGTGACAGCCATTTTCCTAGATGAATAAACTGTAGGTACTAAAATAGAACAAAATATCTTACCAAACAACATCTCTTCTGTAATTTTTCCAAACAAAAATGCTTAGTTACAAGGCTTGGTGGCTAGTAGGTGGCACAGCAACTTGGCATCTAGATTTGACTACAAGTCACTCTGTCTGATCACAGGGCTGCAGTACTCAAGAAAAGGTCAGTGGGTTTTTTTTTTTAAAGTGTCAAATACCATGTATTTTGCCTTGGTGCTTCATGGATATGAGAATATAACCCTATATTTTTTGGAAAGCGGGAAAAGCAGCTCTTAGATCGGAAGGTTTCTATGACTGGAAAGACCACATTTATATTTTTAAACTATTATTCATATGTCTATCCCTGTCTATTGGAGCTAAGGAAAAACTCAGAGGTAATGTATTATACAGATTTTATTTCTTGCCAAGAAGCCCAATGCAAGGGAAAGACACTTAAAATTTATTTTCATAAAACTATGGTCAGTCCAGGAGAAGGGAATAATTGTGTGCTTTCCCTCACTGGTTCAAATTGTAAAATTCCTGTTTCCTATACATTAAGGAATTACAGTTAATCCAGAGTGTAAAAACCATAGATAGGACTGCTGAAATTTTCAGTCTATCCTCTATTAATCCAACATGTGCTAGTTACATGCTTTTAAGGACACTCCCTCCTTCTACTAATGGCACTGTCCTCTCTCTGCAGTCCAATGAGCATTGTGCATTTATTGACAATTATGGGAAGCCTGCCTTCACAATTACAAATGAACTCAGATCTCATTATTTTGGAATTTACCAACTTTCTGATACTACACATAGGAAGGCAACAGGAGAAAAAAAGATGTTATCATATGAATATATATTATATAAATTATAACATAAATATGCATGAGAAATAAATTATGGTGTTACCTTAAAAGAAAATGTGCTATATATATGTAATGGAATACTACTCAGCCATAAACAAGAATGAAATTCTGCCATTCACAGCAGCAGGATGAGCTTGGAGAAAATTACGTTAAGTGAAATAAGCCAGCTACAGAAAGAGAAATACCCCATGTTTTCACTCATAAGTGGGAGCAAAACACAAATAAATAAATAAACAAACCAATAATAATAATAAGTTGAGCTCTCAAAAGGAAACAGCAGAACTGTGGTTTCTAGAGGCAGAAAAGGGGAAGGGGTGGAGGGATAGTGAGAGGTTGGTTAATGGATACAAAACAGCTAGATAGAAAAAATAAGTTCCACTGGTGTGCAATCAAGCTAAGCATCTATAATTAACAATAATTTACTGCATTTTATCAAATGCCTAGAAGAGAGAGATCAAATGTCCTCATCGCAAGTAAATGATTATAAGTTTTATAATGATGAATATGCTAATGATGAATTACCCTGATTCGATCATCACACATTGCATACATATATTGAATTATAACTCTGGACCCCACAAACATGTATAATCAATATGTTTCAATATCAGTTTCTCTACTTTGTCCTGCAGGTCTACAGAGTCGAGGTGACCACTGAGGCCAAGACCAAGAACCCCTGGTGGCAGATTTATACCATGGACACAGAAATCCCCTAAGGCCCTGGCCCAGGCTTGCCCAAAGAGAAGTCCAGGATGGTTGGCTGCATGGGGACGGTGCTACTACGTTTCCATAATGGGCGGTCCCCACAGGACCAGCTGGGAGGACTGGTTGTGCTGCTGGAGATGGGTTGGTGAAGGAAATGACACGCTGCCACTTTGACTGTCTCCAGCAGCCGTGGTCCAGACGATGACAGGAGCTGCGCCTCCAGTGGGCAGGCCAGGAGCGCACTGTGTGCCACCAAGCTGAGGTGGCCGCATCTGCTTTTGTCCTTTGAGAGGACTCTGACTGCAGTTGAGGCATGATGCCATTGAAAGGAAAATCAAAGAACAGCTGGGACTGCGTCCCTAGGGATTTTTTAAAAGCCAGATTTATAGAAAGTATGAATGTGCAGCATAGATGGAATTTTATTTTGTGTAATAAAAGTGCAAATCAAAATATATAAATAAATAAAAGAAACATATCTTGCAGTGAGAGGGAATCAGCCCTTTAGATATTAAAGTATATTAATGCTAATGATTAAAACATATACTGGTAGCAAATGTCTATGGATATATCAATGGAATAGGATAAAAAGTTAAGAAACTGACCCAAAATGTATAAAAATATATACTATTAACAATCGTGCTATCCTAAATCTGTGAGGGATAAAAAACAAATTACTTCATAAATGGTGTTGGAACCACCACCAACTAGAAAGAAAAAAAAAAAGCTGAAGCCATTCTCACATCTTAAAGATCAATTTCAAATGAATTAAATATTTAAAAGTAAACAAATAAAGCCATAAAAGTACCTAAGAAATATGGGAGATTTTAAAAAATAATATTAGAGTGAAAGATGCTAGTCTAAGTATAATACAAATCAAAAAGGTGACAGAAAAATTGATAAATTTAACTGCAATGAAAAATAATGTAAATTTGGTATGACAAAAAACAAAAAAAGTAAAGTAGAAGATAAACTTAGCTAGGTATATTTTTATATGTGTAAGAATCTTGGTTTACCTCCCCAGGGATTTTTTTACTCCTATCCTTTATTCATTTTCCTATTATATTACTCGTTTTGTGATTTGAATGAGGTAGTTGCCAAGAAACAAAAGGTGAGAGTTCACATTTTGTATCTTTTTTTGATTAACTTTGAATGAAAATATTTCTTCTCTCTGTTTTTTTCTGACTTTGAAAACAAAATAGAACTGCCTTGATTTAAAAAAATAAACAAATGCATTAAGTGCATAATGAACATAAAATTTTTTGCAATGAACACACCTTAGTACTGTCATGCTGCTCCCAAGCCCTAAAATCTGAAGGAAACACATCCCAGAAATTTCCTAAAACCCTGGTGAAGAAATTAGAGTTAACTGGTGAAAAAAATTAGATATTCTAATAAAAGTATGTGTTTAGACAAGGGTATTCTATTTAAATTTCACTCATCTAAGTGACTTGTAGCTGATGAGTTATTAAATATAGATGTTTTTATTTTGTCACCCCTTTTTAAGAAAAAAAATAATTGCTTGAATCCTCCTTATTTCAGAGAGCTACTTGTGAACATTACTTTTAAAGCATTACTTTTAAACAAAAATAAAATAAAAATAAAGCATTACTTTTTATTTGATGGAGAAATTTTGCTTGATTTGCTTGAAACAGGCATCTTGAATCCCATTTAAAGACCGCAAACATCAGAAGTTTATATTAGAGAATACAACTGGCCAGGAATACAGCAAATCATACAATTTTTGAATGGTCATTGAAAAGGAAATTGTGAAATGAATGCTGCATGAACATTCAAAACGGTGTTATAAAAGACAACACAGGCCAGACTGAAAACTTGATGCTGCCATAAAATTTCATATTTAGTTGGCTTACCCCAAGACAGCCAAAATTTTAGAAACGTGTAATCAATTTAATCTTGCTATATTTTGTTTAATGGAAAAACTCCTAGCATTACTGTTCTAAGTAACTTACTTTCAGGGAATGAAAGTCATATTCCTTAAAGTATTCCACTATTATTTACACACTCCTACAAATTTAATTTCCTAATTTTTTGCCTGTTCTTTCTTCCCCCCTTCTGATAAGATGATGTATGAAAGGGATAAGTAAATGGTTACATCCAATTAAAGCAGGATGATTAATTCCTCACCCTCAAGGCCTGTTTGTTCATTTTCGTTCATTACAAAAATATTTATGGGTGGAAGACACTGTTCTGGATGCTACAGAATGGCAGCAAACAAAACCACCAATTTCCTGTGCTCAGGCAGTTTCCATTCTAGTGGGAGTGAGACAGTAAACATATAAATACAATCCAATTAAAGCAGGATGATTAATTCCTCACCCTCAAGGCCTGTTTGTTCATTTTCGTTCACTACAAAAATATTTATGGGTGGAAGACACTGTTCTGGATGCTACAGAATGGCAGCAAACAAAACCACCAATTTCCTGCGCTCAGGCAGTTTCCATTCCAGTGGGAGTCAGACAGTAAACATATGAATACATAAAGCTTATAAAATAGACTTTCACAGTGGTAGGTGATGCAAAAAGTAAGTGATGTAAGGAGGGAGAGTGATTACGGAGGAAGGGGCTATTTTAGGTAAGGTAGTCAAGAAAGACCTTTTTGAAGGATGTGGTATTTTAGTAGAATCTTGAATAACAAGGAACGAGCTGCATAAAGATCTTAAAGAAAATATTACAGGCAATGTGCCAGCTGATGCAAAAAGCTCTGTTTATCCGCAAATTTTCACCTACAGTTCATCCATGGGCCACAGATGTCTATGGCAATCCCTCAGGCCCACCAGTATTTCATTTTGCCCTCTAGTAAATAAAAAAGAGACTCATGTAGAAGGCATGGAAGCAAATTCCTAGCCATCTAGTCAACCAGTTCTGGACTCCTGAGTACTTGGAATATGGTCTAGAAGGCACATATAGGTTCAGGGTGAATATGTTCCCATAATTCCACCAACTTTTCAGCTGATGGAAACAAACTCAGCTGAAAGAGGGATCAAGCAAGACCCTCTAAGGCATGAAACCCTATGCAAGGGACCCTCTTTGCCCAGATCTAGGGGTGATACCCTTGTGATGCTAGCCAATATGAACTGGATTAGTAAGAGGGGGGTTTGATGCACATTCTTTCCTTTTAATTATTTAGAAAAAAATTGCAGGTTCAATGCCATCTAAACAGCAAAGAAATTATGGGCCGGCCCTGTGGTGCACTCGGGAGAGTGCAGTGCTGGGAGCGCAGCGTCGCTCCCGCTGCGGGTTCGGATCCTATATAGGGATGGCCGGCGCTCACTGGTTGAGTGCGGTGCGGGCGACACCAAGCCAAGGGTTGCAATCCCCTTACTGGTCACGAAAAAGACAAAAAAAAAAAAAAAGAAAGAAAAGAAATTATAAAATGATCCCTAGGATAGAAGGGTCCCAAGTATGAAACATTCACATATAAGGCATAAAATGCAATTTAGCATAGCTATACATGTAGAACATCGTACGAGGAATCATAAGACATAGTTACTTAATCTTTTGTTCTCAAACATTCCCACCTCTGCAACTCTATGAAAAAAGGAAACCATACCCTTCATTGGACAAATCTTGCAAAATCATTTAACATTAACTTAGGTTTTATAAAAGCAAAGTAGTTATTTATGAAGCAGTGCAAAAGAACAAAACAGACAAACACACTACCCAAGTTCTCGGTACATAACCACCAATCACTAGCCTGGCCACTTTGGGCAAATCACATAAATTCTCAGTATTCTATATTCTCAGTTGTACAATGGCATTACTGTTAGTCAAACTACACTGTGCTACCCAAATGCAGGTTCTTGTAGTACTTAGTACCTTGTATTTTAATCATATATTTCCTCCACTGCTTTGGGGGAAAAGAAACTATATTTTAGTATCCCTAGTACCAAAAGCAATTGTTTGGCAATAAGCCCTTGATAATTAAACGTAGATGAATGAATATTTTTACATCGTATGAATACATTTTCTTTCTAGGCATGTCTAAGTTTTCTAGTCATTAAAAGAAAAATAGCAGAAAATTTTAAACAGGAGGGGGTGCAAAAAGGAAGCCAGAAACCTATGCTTAATCCTACCAAGTTATAACGGGATATTTTGTATTTCAACAACTGATAGACAGTAGCACAAGGATGACTACATTACTAGCAATGAACAGCATCCAGATATATTAATAAAAGAGATATTCTTTCTACACACAATCTTATGTTTTTAATATATCATTGACACCTTCTCTGTTTGACCCCCACTTGAAACCCACTCCTGTACAGATTTTTATTTTTTGAGATGGAGCCATTTCCTCTACCACACCAGTCAAAATCTCAGAAGCAACAAAAGACAGTGTCTACAATTAAAACAAATAAACTCAAGAGAACGAAACAACAGTTGTTGACACAGGCGAAAAACCTGGAATATTACTGCAGATATGAGCAGTTATTTCATTAACTGCAAGGGTCTAGGGTCGAATAAAACCAGAAAATCCCAAGGTGCTAAGTCGTGCATAATCCCAGATTAATATAAGCCATCTCCAACATTTTAATGATCAATGACTAGCCTATAATCAAAGTACACAGCAAAAGAAGTATGCACTTAAAAGCAGTTACGAAGGGGGAAATGTAAAGGACAGGAAATGACTGGAAACCAACTTCTAAAGCTAAACAGAAAAAGGTGCCTTACTGATAAGAAAAAAAATTAGTTTCTTTAACCTTTAAATATTATTTTTAAACATTTAAATGTTAATATTTTAAGACTAAATATTAATATTTAATAAAACATTTTAATGTGATAATACAATAACATAAATATTTAACAAATTATTCAATATTTTTAAACATTTAAATTTAAGACTTTGTCCGTCCATCCTGGCCTCTAGTAATAATACCTATAAACAATAGGTTTTTTCTAAACTTGGGAGGACCTTTTTTTTTTTTTTTTTGCTTTACCTTATCTTTCTAAGGAAGATAATACTCATATCAAAAGATTTCAAGTTCATTTTGCCATTGCATGCTGTCACTCCCCAAACTTTCTTACTATCCCTTGAAGGAAAGACACTTACAAAAGTATTTGTTCTTTGGGACAAGTTTAATTCGTCCTCTGGGGAAAATAATAGTTCCCTTATTCCTAATCATGCTTTCCAGGGGGTAAAAAGAATTTAATTTTTGTGAAAAAAGAAAAGTGTGTGTGTATTTGTGTGGGTGTGTCTGTGCACCCAGCACATGGGGTAGGGAAAGACGGGCATGTAAACTTGTTGAATGGCAAGATTATGCCCAAAGAATCTTATATTTT